TATATATATATATATATATATATATATATACACTCATGTAGAGTCTTATATCTGTACTATTATCTATTGGTTAGAACAAGGGCACTAATGTCAGCTCCTGTGGAAAAAGTAAGATTTCCTTAACAAAGATGGACTAATCAGGGGGTGGGATGGGTGGTGTAGACTCTGTCCACATGGAGCACATAAGAAATGTAGCTTCTGTAAGCATTGCTTAATGACTGTGTCAGTAAACTTCAGTTATTGTAACAAAATACCTGCAAAAGTCGACTGGTTATGAAGGGTGTATTTTGTCTCACAGTGTTGGATGTTGCAGTCCATGGGTGGCTGGTTGGATCTTTTGCTTTGGAGCCTGGGAAGAGCCAGCACATTAAGGCAGGAAGGAGAGAGTGGGAGAGAGAGAGACAGAGAGAGAGAGAGAGAGAGAGAGAGAGAACAGGAGGATGGGACTTCTGCCCACTGTTTCCTACTTCTTAATGCTTCCAGTACCTCACAATTGTAACACAAACTAGTGGCCAAGTCTTACACTAATGTGCTTTTGAGAAATAATTTCCAAAACCAGAGCAGACTTGAAGCACGTAAATCGTCTAATGATGTTTTTTTAAAAGAACAACAGGGCCGGGGATTTATCTCATTGGTTCTGGCGCCTGCCTCGCAAGCTCAAGGACCCAAGTTCGATCCCCGGTACCAAATTAATTAATTAATTAATTAATTAAAAAGAAATAAATGAACAACAATTTGGACTCCCCCACAGAAAACAAAATCCAATTTTTCTCTAACTACAGAAGTGTCCCTTCTCTTAAGGTATGTCTTGAAATACTTCCCTTTCAATTTTATAAATACGTGTCTAAAATTTATTGCTAGTAATATAATATTAAGGAATACTTTTTGGTATTCAATGTGTTTTAAAAAGCTTTACACTAATGTTAGTATCAAAGCATATAGGAGAAGTCCTATTCGTGGGTTTTTTTTTTTTTTTTTTTTAGTACCGGGGATCAAACTCGGGTCCCTGTGCTTTCAAGACAGGCGATGTAACCACTGAGCTAAATCCCTGGCCCAGGAGCTATCGTTCAATAAATCTTTTGTACTCTTAACCTCCTTGTTCCTTAGAATTAATTCTTCAATTTTGGGGACACGAACTCAGCATATCTGACATCTAGCAGGTTGGAAGTTATATTTTCTCCTATATCATTAGGACCTATACATTTACTCAGAGCCCTAAAATCTTAGACCTAGTTTCTCTGGTAGCAAACCCAGAGTCAAAACGCTAATGAAAGGATGGAAAAAATGCAAACAGGTGGAATGAGCAAGGAAAGGGGAGGTGGGGTGTTGGGCGGGATGAGACAGGAGTGGGGCAGGACTGACACCCCTAGGACTCCCACTACACATCAACGGAGACTACAACTCCCACAAGGCAGTGCAACAGAAGGTATTACAGTCGGGACTGTGATTCCTAGGATGGTATACAACCAACCAGTGACTCCCAGAATGTGCTATGACCCCGACTGCGACTCCCCGGAGGCCCAGCTGGGACAGGACTCCTAGGAGGCAGTGTAGTCAGGGCTATAACCCCCAGAGGGACTGCGACTCCTAGATAGTACTATAACGTGGACTGCGCTACAACGTGGAAGCATACAAATGGGACTGATAATCCCAAAATGCAACACAACCAAGCTGCCACTGCCAGAATACACCGCCACCGAGACTGCGACTCCCAGGATACACCCCAAGGGGAGGTGAGTGAGCGGGGCATTCTGGGATCTCTCCACTTCCGGGGAAGGAAGGAGAGGTTTTTTGAATTTGTTGCCGGAGACTTAAGGTTTCCTGAGTCTCTGATACTTTTCTTGATTGATTGTGAATCTCTGATATGTGGAGGACCTGGCTGTAGTCCTTCAGGCTGGGAGAGAGATTGTACATCAGGCGCGTGCTCTTCTCCCTGCGAGGCGCCGCGGCTCCGCAGTAGCGGACCCGCAGAGGAAAGGAGGAAGCCAGGGTGGCAGCCGCTGGGTCTCCCGGTTGGTAAGCACTGAAGACGCTGGTCCTCATCTTCCAGGCTTCCAGCTTTGATTCACTTAACGTCTGGGCAGGTTTTATCCCAGCTCAGGATGTGGACTCAGAACTTGGCAGCATTCGGGCCCTGACTGCCTCCCCCAACACATTCCCAGCGCCTCCAGAGACCGTGAACTCCCTCCTGAGTCGGCGTCCACCGGCGCCCTCATTCTTCCCCTATCTCGCGTCTAAGGGCGCCCTTGCTCATTTGTCCCCATGAGCACGTGCCTGGCTGTGTCCCAGGCCCTGGAGGAGAGGAAACTTGGGGTGTTTCATTGCGGTAGAGAGGATCTTTCTAAACTCAGAGACTATTTTCACTTCTCTGGAGGGAAAGGAGGAAGAGGATACCGTAGGGAGGCCTTGTAAAGCTAAATTTTATGAAGGACATAACGTCCTTATTTTTCTTTTTCCTGCTTGTTTTTAAATGGAGCACTTAGCTGAACTATAATCTACTAGAGTGGTGGCCGTGGTTATTTAAAATTACTATTTCTTAACACCTTTAAATAAGTAGTCACTACTTTATTAGCTCGTAAAATTTAAAAGTGACTGATTTAGTACAACTCATTTCATAGACCGAACGTCAGAGAGATAAGATGTCTTGCCTAACCTAATGAAACCTGCGAATGAATATAAGCCAGTTCTCCAGGAGTAACGGCTAAGTTTTACTACTCTCCTTTTGTCCTTTGGGTTGAGAATACTGGCTGTGACCTGTGACTGGGTTAGCGTTTTGTCTTGCACTATTTTCTGCCTGTGGTAATCTGTCTGAGCCAGGGCTTCATTATGTATAAAATGATATTGTTACTATAATGAATTTGATATATGTCAAGCTGTTGAAATATTATTAAGATGTGCTTACTTATGGTTCCCATTATAATCAACTTTAAAGTTCTGTATTTCAATAAATCAATCTATAGATAGGTTTCTTCTGTTTTTCTTTTATCAGATTTATTTTACCTGGACAGTTTTTTAAACATAATTGTTTTCTATACCTCAGGCCAGATGTACTTTTTGAAATATTTTATTTTTAAAATTATTTGCCCTCATTACTATTACCTTTGACTTATTGCTACTACAAACTTGAAATACAGTGCAGATTGAGTATCCTGTATTTGAAGTGCTTGAGAGAATTTCAGACAGATTTTGTAGTATTTGCACATGCATAATGAGACACTGGGATCCAAGCATAAACATGAAATTCAATTGTCTCACATACATTTGATACTCATACCCTGAAAGTAAATTTATACAGTATTTCACTGTGGCTGGCTTTGACTGCCACCTGTCACATGAGATTAGGTGAGAAATTTACATTTGTGGCACCATATCAGCACTCAGAAAATTTCAGATTTTGGAGCATTTTGGACTTTGGATTTGCAGGTTAGGAGTCCTCAATCTGTAATAAAATTTTGATTGAGGTTTATTAAAATTTTATATACATGAGGTACAGTAAGTACATTGAAAATTTCCTCATCCAAATAATACAGCCCTAAATACCAAGAAATTCTCCTAAATTTTATGAAATGTATTTTTCTTTAACTCTCACTTTAAAACTTAAAATAGTATTGTATTTTTTTCTAGCCACCAGTCTTACCATGCTTCCCTGTGATATTTGTGGTGAAATGGTAACCTCAGAATCAGATATGAAGACTCACCTCCTAATTGTTCACATGGAAAATGAAGTTATATGTCCATTTTGCAAGTTGTCAGGTGTAAATTATGATGAAATGTGCTTTCATATTGAAACTGCTCATTTTGATCAGAATGCTCTAGAAAGAAACTTTGAGAGGGTAGACCCAATACAGTATGGAACTTCAGATGACAAGGACAGCTCTCTGCAGAGTACAATGGAAGCTTGTGCATCTAGTCATCCAAAATGTTCAGCTCAAAGCCCGCCTACCCATGGTACTTTAAAACATGAAATCGTTTACTCAGAGAACTTAATTGGATCTAGAAAATTCCTGAGAAGTAGGGAAAACCAGTCTGACTTATCTGAAACAAAAGAATCCATTTATGAAACAATGTATAGTCCTCCTGAATGTCCATTCTGTGGAATAATAGAGGAATGTAGTCAAGATATGGAAAATCATGTGAAAACAAAGCATGTCAGTCTTTTAGACACACCATTAGAAGGTAAAGTGTTTATTATATTTTAAATTATTGTAATAACAGTAGTCTTGGTTTAACATGTGGTGTTCTAAAGGTTGGTTTGTAAATCATTACCACAAATGTGTTTTTAAATCCAATTTATGCCTGTAATTTGCCATAATTACAATATACAAATAGAATTATGAAAAATAATTTTAATGCATATTTGAATGTTTCAGGTACATCAAAAGTACTTTCTGTCTAATTTCCAGAGGATATTCTTTTGTTTCCACCAGCCCAGTATCATGTGCACTGTCCTGAATTCTTAACTTTGTGTTAGTGAGCTCTAGTTTGAGTCCATTATGATCAGGGACTACACTTTTTTTTTAATCTCTTGGCTCTTGCTCATTTGTATAATTATATCTTTTTTTTTAACTACACTTTGATAACCAATTGTTTGAATTTGTTTGGCTCAGGATTTGCACAGTTCACATATGCTTAAAAGCATGATGGGTAAAGTGTTCTACATATGATAGATAATCAACAATTATGGTAAATTTAAATTTTTTAAAAATTTATACAATAAATGGTACATTGCCATTAACCCTAAAAATATTGCCCCTCACTTCAGGCACCTTGCTTCAGCCATTTTTGTTTTGTTTTGTTTTGTTTTTGTTTTTGTTGCTTCAGCCATTTTGTCAAGTTCCGTAAAATTCTGTTCAAATATTATTTGTAATTAGAACATTTCCACATTATCTCCATTTATCTTATATCTTCATAATTTTTCTTTTCATTGCACATGTCCATGAGCTTTATTCCCTTGTAGTGTGTAGTTTCTATTACTTCTGTATAATGGACCTTTTCTATAAAATTGACTTGCAGTTTATAGAGTACATTATCAACTCTGTATAAAAGGCATCTAGTCTTGTTTGGCTCTTAACTCATTTTGATAGTCGTCTGTTGATTGCTGTCAGTGTTGTAGATGAGTTCATTATCTGTTGCTATTAATTCTGTGGACTGCTAGAGTTCCCCCATTGAGTGCAACACCTGGCACTGCTCTGCTGGATCACTGCTGTCTCTTAAGAGCCTCAGCAAACTAGTGCCAAGTGCAGCCTTGTGTGTCTGAATGTTGAGTGAAAAAAGAACCTGGTTGTCATTAGAGATACAGAAGTGAAATTAATAGCTGGGTTTAACTAACATTTAGGAATAGTAATGGAACAAGGAAGTTTGCAGGTATTTTAAGGGAATAATTATGTAGAGGATGCATGGCATCTAGGCTGGAAAGTAAAAAAAAACATGAGGGAGGTGATGAATTACAAAAATACAGGACCTATATGTATTATACGTGACAGGTTTTAATTAGCCCAAAGACTTTAGAGTGGTAGAATGTAAAGAAATGAGTTGGGGGCTCAAATAGTTTACAAAAGGGATGTTTGATGACAAACCCAAAGTATAATCTTGTTATTCTGTGACTAAATTAGGATGAAGGTATAAATTGTTGGAGGTGAAGTCAAGGAGTTACCTCTATGGATATTGAAGTTGCTGAGAATGATCATAGTGTAGCTGGGTGTGGTGGGGCGTGCCTGTAATCCCAGCACTTGGGAGGCTGTGGCAGGAGGATTGCTGCAAGTTCAAAACCAGCCTGGGCTACAGAGTGAGTTCAGGGCTACCCTGAACTACTCTGCATGACCCTGTCTCAAAAACAAACAAAAAATGATCACAGTGCAAGGTTTAGGAAAAGATTTTGATCCATCCACAGAAATAAAAGAAGTATCTAGGATTTCAGAAAATGTTAGCCACAAAGAAGAGATATGAGATGCTGTATTTTAGTGATATGAATTAGTAAAAAGATAGAGCTTTTGAGGAAAGAATGTGGTTTGAAGTGACGAAAAGGAGCAAAAGGGATATGATTTCTATTTCTAGAGCCCTAAATTATGAAAGAAAAAGTGCTTCTGTGTTAAGGAGCTGTCAGGGAAGTAGGCCAACTAGATTTCAGTAAATGCAACAAGACAAAGTGAATATTCTGTGAAAATTTTCAGTTAGAAACTGACGAACCATAGACTGATTTGTGGAGGCTGTGTTTGGAGTCCTTGAGGAAATAAAGGGATGAAGCTTAGGTCAAATTAGTGGATGTACATGTAGTTAAAGACTCTTAGGACAGCCACTGGCCAGTTAGACCTCTTCATTGTTAGAATAGCGTTGGTACCTGTGGCCCTGGGTAACCACGCTGAATGATAATGGCTGACCTGTGAAGCTTAGACTTCCGATGGTTAGAAAGTGTGCAGTGCTGAGGTACACTGGTTGAATGTGGTAGTAAGGGCAAGGTTGGCTTGCATGTGATAACCAAGGGAATGAGCAAAGGCCTCTGGGCATGGCTCTGAGGCATTTTAGGGTAGAGAACTAGCCTAAAGACTGCTCTTACATCCTGTAGCATCATTATGCATGGTAGCATGGACCTTTATTGCTTATGAGTGCTTTTTGGAATATTTTCAAAGACTTTTTTATTTCAGTGATTCAGTCCTTTTTTTTCTCTAGAATGGGGATCAAATTCAGAGGCAGTCCTCCACTGAGCTGCATCCTCAACTGTTTTTCCTTTTTCTTCTTTCTTCTTTTTTTGGGTGGGGGCGGGTACCAGGAATTGAACTCGGGTCATTGCGCATGCAAGGCAGGCAGCGGAACTACTGAGCTACATTCCCAGCCCCTCTTATTTTTTTCTTTAAGACAAGTACTTACTAAGTTTCTCAGGTGGGCTTGAACTTGTGATCCTCCTGTCTCAGCCATCTGAACCTCTGGGATTATAGGCATGTGCTGTGTTGCCCAGCTACCCAGTCTCATTTATTTTATTTTTTTTTATTAAGATTATTGGTACATGTGAGGTATACAATACATTCATCATTGGGAGCGTGTACCTTTACACAATGTATCTTGGTTCTTATTTTTTCCC